TAATATTTCTTTAACCATTCCAACTAAGCTCTAGGCTTGTGCTAGGATATGGTTTACGACAATAGTCGAATGGCGGGATTCGAACCCCTGACCTCGTGGTCGGAAATCCGTAACCTTAACCATAAGGCTATTGACGCTTTTATTTAATTGATTGTTTATTGAAGAGAAAATATCAAATTAATAAGCTTAATCATACATAATGGTTACATTATACAGCTGAGAAGGGCGTATTTCTGTTCGCTGGAACGAATAACGAGGTGAGGTTGGATTACTTTGATGTGCAGCAACCTCGCAGATCGCAGCGTCCCCGCTCAAGCTTCGCCTGCACCTGTACGATATTTTATTTTATAGAGATATTCTCGATTTATAATATTCTAAGATAATCATAAATAGGCGTTTAGAAATTATAAAAAGATTAGCTATCGCCCGCGACTCTGTTCGCGCGGGATTAAAAATAGATGATGGTCGATTCTCAGACCTACTCAATCTGCTCACAAAATTTGATGACAATCGGTCAAGCCGTTTCGGAGGAGTATGGGAACGAAAATTGTGACACGAGAATTTTATATATAAGATAATCGGAAGTTGAACATACTCATCATTCTTTCGTTAAGAACACGACAAAAAAATGTATTCTTTCGTATAAATGTGTACGTGATATCGAATATTTCTACTATTTTTATTAATATCTTTTAGAATTCTTAACTCAAACTCAACACTAGAAAAAACATAGCACATTTTTCTATGCATGCTGGTTCACTTCGTAGTTTCATAGAGAGTTGAATAGCGAACAACATTTAAGCATTTCACATGGCGCGGTGCGGAAAGCGAGCTTTTGTCTAGCTCGGTGGCTGAATGGTCCTCCCGCAGGATCTGGGAGTTGCGGGGAGGACGTCTCCTGCAGGATACACCGCCGCGAGCCTCTCGTGTGCCTATTGCGCCATTGCACCGCAAGCTGTAGTTTAGAGAGGTTTTATTGTTACAAATGCACGTATTTCGACATATTTTATAACAGAAATAATCATGGTATTTACAATAATTATCAGGTACTTTTAACTCATTATAAAGAAACTTATAAAAACTAAACATTAAGCTTACCTGTACAGAATAAAGACGAAAGTAAAAATGTTATTCCTTCGAGCCGGATTTGAACCAGCGACCTATGGATGACAGCATCAACTCCTCTACAGTCCACCGCTCTACCAACTGAGCTATCGAAGGTGCATTCAAATGCATGAATTCGATTATTTAAAGAGAAATCTTTAACAATTCGTAAAAATTTCAATTGAGAAAATTGGTTATTGACAATTTCGGAATGAAATATGTACACTGGCTGAATGAAATAGGTACAGGAATTTTCAGAATAAACACGTTTGCGAAATTCTATCCACGTTCACAACGCAGTTCGCTTTGTTAGTCTGTTCATAGTGTAAGACAATAGGATGTGCTGTTTATCGTCTGAGTCCTTTCACTGTGCGCATTGTTACAACTTACAGCGCACACCAATAAGAAAGAAATTGTCTTATTCGTGTGGATGAATTGCACAAATAGAGATGATGATTCATGCGAAATATGCGTATTCTAATAGCTAGTCTTAACAGATCTAATTGTTGTCAATATACAATTGAGATATCTGATATTTTTTCATATTTAATTTAATAATATAACAAAAATAATAACAATATGAAATCTAGGTGGTTTAAAATATCCTGCGATTTTATGAAAGTATTGAAAATGGTATAGACATTCAGTATAGTCTAGAAAAAAAAATTAGAGAGAAAAAAATAAAAAGATTAACCGCATAAGAAATTTTACTTAGTACTTAATTTCTCAGCTTCCTTGTTGTAAACTTTTCGAAAGCCACTATAAGAATATCCGTATGTGTACAATCTGTTAAACATTGCAGACGAAGGTGACTAGAAAACTTTATAATTCTACATCTATCAACTATCAAACTTCCTTTATACAATTGTATATAACATTTCGTTATCTTGCCTTGCAAATTGCTATCTATGAAAATGTTAAATCTGACCTTGTTTGGATTCCGTCATCTACAGCCTTGGGGGTAAATTCGAAATAACATGCAAACTTTGTTTCTTACCATATTTTGAGGTCAACACTTTAACTTGCTTATTTATATTTTGTCTAAATCTCCTTTAAACATTAAACTATTTACAATAATATTCAGATTTATCACCAATTCTATATATTTTGTTATTTTAGTAATTTAAAGAGGTTAAATTAAATGTTCATAACCGTCTTTAATTTTATATATGGCAATTAGAAGTAAAGTTATTTTTTTATATAAATTTATTGAAATGAAATGATTTCATTTATTTTCCAATGACATGCTAATATAAGTAACAAAGTGGTAAAGGATAATCGAAGCAAGGCCGGAGCTTTGATGTGCAGCGGCCTTGCGGAGGCGCGCACTGAGCCGTTCCAAGCTGTGCGAGGCTGCCGCACCACCCCTCATACACATTTCATTTTTAATTTTCTGCTATTGCTTTTCATTTATTATACTGTTCGATATTTGATCTTAAAGTTTTTTTTTAAACAACAGCGAAATAACGAACTTTACAATACTTCTAAATATTTTTGACAAAAATCCAAATTCAAACAGAATGTTAGTAAACAAATATGATACACGTTCTGCAATGACGATTCGAAAGAGACTGCTCAAGCATCAGCTTATGAAACTACCCTCAACAGTCCTTCCGTTCCAAATAATACTGTCAATATTCAATTGACCATGATAACTTTTATAATACTAGGCTTTACGTATTCCTCCATCTTCCGTAATATTTCGTATTACGTATTCCGTTTTCGAAAGCAAACGGGGATCGTGTAGTTTCGTATCGACAAAATTTCACATTACCTATTCCTTTGTTTTTTTTTCCAGTATCCATACTTACTATAAGATTTATAGCTCGTTCTTTTCTGACCTTAACCTTGGAATGTCGAGTTTTAGTTATTAGAGAAGGCGAGGTTCATCGATTACTCCGGCGAGCCTTCGCAACGGCTCGTGGCTTAGTCTTGTCTTCCCTCGACCTCACGCTGATTGATTTATGGACGTCGCACCGCTAGCTATATAGCCCTAGCTCAATATTCAGTCAGACGTCCATAGGGATTGGTCCTAAGTAGTTGATTGGATAAGTTAAACGTTATACCATTCATATTGTATAATGTTCTGAAAGCTAAATTATATAAATTTTACTTCTAATATATTTGTGTTTCCTTCATTTATTATTTTTAGCTGACTTATAAATTAAGATAGCGTACTTGTCGTTGTCTTTGGGCATTTTTACATGTTATAAAATTAATTGGTAAGACAATGTTATTACTAATAAAAAATCATTTCCTTCGAGCCGGATTTGAACCAGCGACCTATGGATGACAGTGTTTGCTCCTCTACAGTCCACCGCTCTACCAACTGAGCTATCGAAGGTGTGATACTTCATACAAAACATCGCAGCGCAGTATTCGTTAAATTTTAATACGTTCACTTTTTATTTAATAAAAGGTAAATTTACATGTCGATGTTCGTGAGTATGATAAAGCACGTTCGCGACAAAATGTAATACAGCCACCAAATTGCCTCCGATAGTGTTGACTGGCGCCGTGACGAGACTCAACGACCTCCCTTACCTTTATCTCATATCTTCAACAAATTGTACTCCTTTAGTAAATCGGATATTCTGTAACTGAAGAATATGATGTATTTTTCTTTTGAAATATGTTAGAAAAGAGAATAGAAAAGGGAATGAAAAACAAAACTAACCAACGTTACGTGCATTATTTATGTATGGCCGGTAGACGCTACTAACAATATCAGTTGCACGAATGGGTTTGATGCAATACCACGACGACATAAAGGACAAGCGTGAAGTGAAAGAAATTTGGCATTGGGTATGTGTGTTAAACCTGATTTTAGTGCTTTCCTACCCTTTTCGTATAGAAAAGAGTAAGTAGATTTGACGGAGGGGGAACATATAAAATGGGGAAATATATTCTCTTCCTGTGATTGTATGATTTAAGATAGGCCACACATGTGCAATTGAGGATGTCTATGGACAGCGGCCTCTTCGCTACTTCGCCGAATTCAGGTGGCCGTTGGCTTGTTTGGCTTCTTACAATAGAAATATAAAAAAAATAAACTAACCAAAAATTGTCGGCGCCTGAAAAAATCAAAGAGACGTTTTTTAAACTACGAACAGTGCATTATTTTAGAGTAATGTAAAAGGCATTACATACGATATTTAAAATAAATTTGATGCTTTTTATTATCCATTCCAAAAATCTGAACATGTTCATGTATTTTGTTTTCGGACATAATTTAAAACCTAGAACATTATACAAGTAATGATATAATTTATATGCACAGACATGCAGCATATCATTCTATTCTTATGTAAATAACTAGATAAATGTTGTTAGATTAGTTATTTTTTCACAAATTATAAACATATAATGTGCTTAGTTAAAAGTTTCGCTAAAGTGCTTTCATGTTTTCAAACCTGCAAGGTAAACGTAATGAGGAACATCCTGTACTTCGTACGGATATTCTAAAAGATTTCTATTTATATAAAGAATTCTAAAGGTAATTCTGTTTAATTTTAAAATATAAAATTTTTAATAAAGTTAGGTATTATATTGCTGTGTACACAGATGGAACTAAGGGTTCCCACTGCCCCATTATCATCCTTATTTCAATTTAAAAAGACGAAGATTTTTATTTTAGCCCAGGTTATGGATTGTTCAATTTATAACACCGTAGTCATGAGCGTTTACTAGTGAAGTGTTTCAGAGACTTGCTCCTGAGATATATTTTTTATTATTAGCTTCAAGTGGGAGCTTTAACGCGGCCTTGGTGAGGCGCGGCCAGCCCTGAGCTCGGCTATCGGTATACACCTGTCGTCAATTTGACCTTTATAATAATAGTCCCTTTTTCGTTCCGTAAATTAAACTCCTGTCTCTAATCGTGAGTTTCTGAAACCAAATCTCCGTTTAAAATATATTGTTATCTCTGTTTTGTCAAAGATAATGACAGGGATGACGATGTTTTATACAGAGCTTATGGTCTCAGAAACCCATTATAAATAATGTTAAGCATAGCCTAGGACAACTCTATTTGCTTTGTGGTTTAAGGAGGCGATTTTATTGAAATTATTGATTTTAATACCTTTAATTAATAAGAGTAGTGGAAGATGTTTTGTTAATGTTAAAAGTTTTTCTTTTCCTTTTTTAACCCTTTGACGGGCATAAGTTTATTTGTTCACTCGACAGCGGTAAAATGAAATTGATATTGATTAAGGGTTTATAATAGAA